GCGTCTAAAGTGATAATTTTTCTCATACTTTGTTTGTCAGACTGATTCCCAAACAAAAATAGATATTTCAGCTACGCTGTATGTATATATGTATGTATGTATGTATGTACTAAAAATTTCACTACTGATTCACGTTTGTTCAATATATCGGTTCACTAATTCACAAAGTTATTTTTAATAGTAACCCTACACAGGGCAATGGTGGTAGGTGTAAAGACATTAAGGTGTCGCTCCACGTGACCGCGTGCTAAATATGCCACGTGATCCCAAGATAATTAGATTTTAGGCCCCTAGCAGGCCGAAAGTTTCTTGAAGCCGAACGACCCAGGAGACAAAACGAGTGTCAAACGGCCAAAAACTAACGAATACTAACCATTGAAGCTCTATTTAGAATTTATATTCTCCTCTTTGAAACAACTGTTAGTTTCTTTTTTTCAACATTTTTAATGAATTTTCGAGCTTTTTTTGATTCAAACATTACTAAGAATCTTTCAGTTTGCCCCACAAAAGTTTTCCTCAAATTTTTTGGTGTAGGTCGTCGATCTCTAACAAAAGTACAGCCGATAGATTAAATAGAGTTTGTCTTGGTTCAAATTCCGAAAACGATAGACTGCTGTTCATAAAGCCGAATTATTATTATTGTTATATGATTGTTTTTCCCTATAATGCCATCTGAAAACTTCGTCTAACGCTCCAGTTCTACCAGTTTATAATATACATGTGATAAAGTAAGCCTGTCAACAACGCGGGTCTTAGGCTAGAGAAAGAGGACCCATGCACTATGAGATAAACGGAATCTTTTGAAAACGAAGTGACAAGTCAATAAGTCACTTTTGCCGATAGTTGCTTATGCTAAGCAATGACATCTAAGATACGGTTATGCCATAGGCTGTAATGCGTAGAGTTCTTTTCATTTGGATCCAAGTTACAGAACACGTACTTGGGGCGGAGCTGAAGTAACGTATTTCACGCTTCTCAATTAGAGTACAAATGATTCAACTGCAATAATTATTGAGGATAGCATGCATTTGATAGATTAGAGCAAATCGTCGATGAGCGAATTACCGAGTGACGGCGTAGCTGAGTGCCTCCTTGGTGGCGCGGAAGACGACGCCGCCGTCCTGGCCAAGCCCCTTCGATTTTTGTCCCTGCTATCTCTGTCACGGGCTCCGCCGACTGATGAACTGAATAACGAATTGGTCGGTAACGAGTTCATGGTTGCAAAACGCGACCCTTTGTTTCCACTGCCCATCGACTCCTCCGAGCTGAGATCCGTTGCTGATGATAGATCTGTGACGAGTTCCGTGTCGAAAGGCCAAAGGGCCGAACCGCATCATGAAATACGGTGAAGTACACGGAGGTCAAAAAAGGCGATGATATAATCACGGGAGGACGTCGAAGGCAGAAACCGGCGAAAAGCATTGTAGGTGGTACAGTTAGAAAAACCTTTTCTAGATGGTCGCACTGAAAAGGTAATGGGATGGTGCAGCTCACTTCCTTGGGAAAAGAGATCTTGACTCGGGCCAACTCTACAAAAAAATTCTGACTGAATCGACGCTCGAAAGGTTGTCATTCTCACGCTTTCTTTTCGCGTATTTCTCAAATGTATTCTTTGGATATGTTTTACGAGAGGCATAATGAGCTATGGTAGATGGAAATCGACCGTTACTATTGCGTATGCAGTCTCAGCTTTTCACAATAACTGAATCTAAATCGGTCAAGATATCTCTCCTAGGACAAACATGTTAGGGAGCCTAATTAAAAAAAAAAAACAAAGTCAATCTTTCGTGCATCGTGTAGTTTGTTGAAATAACTAGAATACTGGTCGCAATATCTAAGGAGAGCAGTGGACGGAATTGCCGTGCGAGTGATGATGCAACAACACAATTATCAATAGATAAAACATGTTAATGGTATAGGTAATTCGTTTCGGACAAGAGTAAAACATTCTAAAGTTTTAACGCAAGCGCCGTGGTAAAAATCATCTCGAACCGACAGAAAGTGTAATAGCATTCATTCACTAAAGCGAAGGTGCAAAAGCGTTTACGTTCGGGTAGTGTGGATGCAGGACCACTAAGAAAACCTTATAGGCACAATTAATTGTTTCAGGCGTCCTAAACCGTGTAGAAAAGCATTCCTCAATCACTCCTTTTTAGCAGCTCTCAGATGTCGCAGTCAAAAACCTACACAGAACGCTCACGCTTACCGATTAACGGAAAGATTTTCTCTCCCAAAGCCCAAATGGTCCTTGAGATTAAGCCTTCAACGTAGTAGTCAAAACTTTTCGAATTTGTTTGTGACTGATTCGTAATTTGCTGTTGCTGTGGACTTCGTGGATTTTTCGTGATAACAGAAGTTTTAGCCGAAGCCGAATTTTGGCCTTTATCAAAATTGGTGGTTGACCGTTGATTTTCCTGCTCAGCTTTTCTTTCGTTTGAAGTGTCAATCGTGGATAGGAGTGTGCCGGGAAGCAATGCGGCGGACCCCATTCTATGACGACCAACTAAAGCGGTAACATGGATAACACATATAAACACCCAAGGCCAAATAAATAAACGGTAAACGAACCAACTAATCCGAATTAGCGATATGAAAAATGCTCTTTCTATTATAAGCTGAAATAAAATTTTGTTAGCCGAAAAGTAACAGAACCGTTTGTCATTTTTACTAATGTTATCATAAAAGCGACAGACTGTAAAATATCATCAGAAATTTTACTATAGCGTACTAAGTGTTCAATAGATATGGGTTCGATGAGACGACCTTTTGACACAATCCGTAAAATCAAATAAAGCCGGCATCTGCTCAGACCGAGAGTCAACTAATAACTAGAAGTAGTTTACTGAGAAGTTGTAAAGTAGGTCCCTTAATAGAGGGAAGGAAACAATTGTTTAACAGAAGAACTTACTGGCTGTTTCGTCATTCAGTAGACCCTACATTGCCGCGTGATATGCAATAGAGTTATCGTTAACAAATGTAAAACAACGACAAACTGCGAAGTTCCGCTTCTTAAGCCACCAAAATAGGAGATTTTCAACTAGATATTCGTCATAGTTTCTGACGTAATGGGCACGAGAAAGACGTCGTTTCTCTCTAAGTCGGTGGGAAATATATTGTTCTGGCATATGGCAGCGTCTACGTCCAGACGCAGGTCAGCTGAGCGGGACATCAAAAAAAGAACCAAAAAAAAAATTTAACAATACGACGAAGAAATAATATCAACGAATTTCTAATAGAAATTTCCTTGTTCGCCGAAAACTAGGAAGGAGGTTCTCGGGTCTTGTCAAAGCGCCATGTTTTTTTGGATGTTGTCACACCAACCTTCTGTAGCAGTGCCCAACAGCTTAACTACTAGAAAAACTACCATAAGAAATATAAGGAGTGTCACAGCACTAGGCGCCGTGCAAGCCGGAAGTAACAAGCAGTTCTGCGAAACGACGTCTACGGCGGTACTACTTGCATGCTATTTAATAGTCATCATGCCTTCTATCAAATAAAGGCGATAACAGCATAAGTGGTGAAAACGCCTCAAAAACGTGATCATCCTAACCGATCCTGCACAGGGTCCTTGTACAGGTAGACATAACGGTCGCAGGCTGCCCTGCCTCCAGCTATTCGGTTACGATAGCAAAATATAAGCTAGCAATCGTACAACATATCTCTACGAATTTCACAAGCGCGACAGTGGTTGTAGGTAGGTGCATGGTTTTTAAATACACGAAGCGGACGAATTAAGCGCCAACGAGAGAACACGATACCATAATGCTTGACAATCTAGATAATGCTTAGAATATTACATACAGTCAACCCGGCTATGAAGCGCACACCACGCAAGAGCTTGATGGTTTGAGTGTCAATCGTCGTCACGGATTTTGTCGCGTGAGTAGATATGTTCGTTTGCATTATAGTTACGGGTTACGGAAAATGCAGACAAGCGTTGATGTGGGGTCACAATGAAATGCCAACAGGGGCGACAGCAAAGGGGTCATGATGTATTATAATTGACACACATATTCGTTTTTGTAGAGTTCATTATGTAATGGTTAAATATTTTTAGAGATTATGTATGTTAACGGTGATACCAATAGCGGGAGCGCACAGAGAAGGTGAGCGTATACGGGTCGCGAAATGTAGACCAACAGGACATATACAGCAGCAGCAGCAGCAGCGGCAGGTGATGTCAATAGACAGATTTTCAATTGTTTAGAATGATTGCCGATCAATGCCAAAAACGAGAACAATAAACAGATCGAAGCGAGTCTTTTGTTAGTTACAATTAGTAGCGTTAGTAATTCAACGATGGGTGTTTATTTGCGTTTCGACGAAATCGTTCTATAGATGTACGTACTACGAGCGGAGCGTACAATATATAGGATTCATTGTCAGAACTATTATAGACCAATATATAAAGGACCGATTCGAGTCCAGGGAACGATTCATAGCAAGTTAGATATCGATCTGGTGATAATTATGGATATGATACTAGCGTAATTACTCAATAGGTGTTTAAAATATATCCGGGCTAGTTGTGGGCCTGGGTTCGGCGTCGTTAGAGATCACTGGCGCAAGAACAGTAAAATACAGGAAAAATCAACGTCTACCTAGCTGCGCAAACTTTTAATGCAAAGGATATTCAATGACACCCAAGCAAGGACGGATTTCTAGAACGCCTGTTTCTTCACTGGCCAAGCCAGTCGCTCCTACAACCTTAACCTTCTCCAAAGAGCCAGCAAAACAAATGTCGATACCATTATGTTATGAAACCAGTGGATAAATTAAAATCAGGGACTGAACAGTCAGCGCCACTTCCAACGTACATATGTCATCTGGGTAGTCAGGTTATATTTGGCTTCCAGGTATGTTTGCACCCTTGGGGCTTACTCCAACTGCGACTCAACTTCGTGATCACCTGTAGTTTGAATTCTACTGGAACCAGGACAGAAACAGAACTCTATTCGAGTTCAGTATTTCCAATATCTGTGTGAGGTTGGGTACCTGTTTTTTTCACTCTCTAAGAGATTTCACTGATCGTCTACCTCGTGAGTCTTCACTGGTTTCCTTGTGGCGTATCTACACGTTTTCGGTCTACCTTAGCTTCTCTCTTATACCTTAGTTATTTGACAGTTAGCACAGGCTCTAAAGCGCCTATACATGGGACTCTAGTATACCCCTTTCCATGTCCAAAAACGTGATCTCTAGCAACTCCTAGAAAAAAATTCTAGCATATGCGCACCTATTCTTCTCAAACATGTGGAAATTTCAAAAAAGCTGCGACGCGTAAATGCTCACATTGTTCATATATGAAAGTCCAATATGAGCGCTAACGCTATGCAGTATTTTTTTTCCTCGCCTCCAACGCCTACGGAAGTGTCCGGGTAGCAATCCCAAAACATTTCTAGCTGACGACTCCGTCTGCGCGTTAACCTTTTCTCAAACTATATTTTAGTTCCCTTCGAATACCGTCCAGCTACTATGCAGCTCATATTCATCACCTCATCGTATGGATGCCTCACTGTGAATGTTATGCCGTACTACGCAGGAAGCCGTAGTTCCCAAAGCTGCGACGTACGAATGTCAAAGGTGACAAAGAATTATTTTGGGACGCGCCACCGTTAGCCAATCCAATTAGCAAGTCACTGCCAATGCTGAACTTCAATCTTGGACTCGAACAGAGTGACTGCAGGCCGCATGGATCCTCTTGAAGTTTCAGCTGAGCTTTTTAAGGTCCAACCCGGACGATTAATAGATAATGTGGTTATCGAGTGGGCAAGTATCGGATTCGTTTGGCCACCCACATATATGCACGGGACAGTCTTTATAGCCAACTAGCCAGATGAGCCCCAGAAAATTTCATCCGCTAAAGATTACGTAAGCACATGATAAGCCTCGCAAAGTTTTCGTGAGGCCTGGGGCGTAATCAGTTGTCTGACACAGTTCGTAGTCACGTGCTAACATAGCATCGTCCGGAAGATATAAATACATGGTGGTTTAGGAAAAAGTGACCTATGCCCCGCCGCAGTGTCACACTCATTGTTGTACCGGTCTACTATTGCGAAACAACAACTATATTTAAAATTTGTCCTCTAAGTAAAGCGCCTCCTAGATTAAGGAAAATGTAAATATACTTGAAACTACGAAGCGCCTTGCGTAGTAGTATCTAAGTGATAACGAGTAACTGAACTATTAGCAGCAGCATTCCAGCAAATCACACACACCTGGACTGAGGTAATTTGTCTCCTTTCCGGACTGCTTGCCGTCTTCAATCTCGAGAAAGTTCTGCAGATGCGCCCATAAAGCGGACTTTCCTTGCTTTGTTTGTAGCCCATGGGACCAGATCCTCTCCAATAAATCGCATAGACCAGCTGAGATAAAAACAGCGTTTCCCTGTTAGCAGTACTCGCTTCTAAGGTACTATGATATTAAATAGTGAGGACGGTGATCATGGTATGTAATAATACATGGCAAATGTAATAATAATAATTGCTGATTTTAGTTATAAGCAACGACTAGTTTATAACTTATTTATCATAGCTAATTCGCAAAAGGTTGCTCTAAAAATGACAAGCTATAAAGCATTACTAACCAATGAGGGTATTCTCTTCAATCGTGGACGTCTTGCAGTTGTCACTTGCTCGCTTATGGCCCATTTCAACGGCTTCTGCGTAGCCCATTTTCTCTACACACATACGCTTAGTCTTTTGCTTACATTCGTTAAGCAACTGTTCGACAAATTTCCAGTTCGACTGCCGGATCAGTGCAGCCGACGAGTTCTCCTGTACTATCCGCTGTTTTGACGAGCGCCTTCTTTGCTGTTGTATTGTTAAATGTGGATCTCCGTACGCATCACGATCGCCTCGATCGGCACTGCTTCGCCGGCGCTTATATTCTGTCGGCCCAGTACCGTTGAGATAGCCCTTGTTCAGTGTCCAATGATTGAACACTCCCTGCTTATGCTGTGAATACACCATACTCTCCTGTGATCGTTTCGGGGCTGGCAGGACCATGTCAGGACAAGCCAACCGGAGTTCGATTGGCTTTGCACTTTGGGTAAAGCTATTACAGCGAATATATCTCAACAGTTCCCCACCGAGCTTTTCTTTGAAGTCGTGTAATCTTGTATCGAATATAGCGACGAAACGCGTCCCAGTATTATCTCTAGCTGCCAAAAGAACGTCATCGTGGGCAGCGTCATTATTTTGCGTAGGCGAGGGTGCTGACTGCTTCTCTGGCCCATGAGCGTCACTGCTTTTATCGGCAGTTTCTTGCTGCGTCTGCAGGACCTTGGCGTCGATAAATGAAGTAAACATCTGCGTCTCAATGAACTTTGACAAAAAAGCGAGATGTTGTTGAGGCTGATCTGACAGGAACGAGGTCTTGTCGAAATTCTGTAGCGATGTTTCTCTGAAATGATAATCGGAAATGGGACACGAAAAAAGATAGAACGTATCTCTGTGAACGTATTGTGAGCGACTACCGCAAATATTAATGAAACAAGAATATCGTGGAGTGCAGTGTAAATATTGTAACGAAGTGGAAATTGACCGCCTCCAGTTACCGGTTATTGGAAAGCCAACTTTCAATATCAGCTAAGTTCGGTGATAACTCTTCCGGAGTCGTCTTTTTCTCCGATGGAGGGTGAACCACAAACTGTTCGTAGCCGCAAAACATCGAGAGAAACCTGCGCCACATTCCCCAGAAGAATGAACACAATGATAAGATTACATTGTTTTATCACATTTATCATACAGAATCACAAAAATAGGCAATGCCTCTTTTGAAATTTCCTGAAAACTTAGTTAGTTAATTTACTTTGTTTACAATTTTTTCCTAAGCAGATCAAAGCTAGTGCAATGTTCTCAGTCCTTCGATCTAGCTTTTAAGATGCACAAGTACTACCGTATCTGTAGAACTGACTTTCACACTTAAAAGTTCCAGTTCAATTTATGTTGACGATATGTATGGCATGGAAATGTTGCAGCGATTTCTAATGACCTCTAAATAAAATTTCTATACATTATGCACATGAATATGGCCTGCCCACGTGGTGGATATGTTCACCTACATACCTGCTCTTCAAAAGAATTAATGGTAATAGTGCAACATTTTAAATATTCAACAAACTATCTAGAGCTTAAATTTCAAATATAGCAGCAATAATAATAATAATAATAATAATAAAAAAAAAAAACAATAACATACCTCATGGTCTCTAAGCTAAAGCCCAGACGTAATCGATATATTTTAAGTAGACTCAAAGCTGCTTTAATAAACGTGTTGTATCTCTCTCTCTCTCTCTCTCTCTCTCTCTCTATATATATATATATATATATATATATATATATATATATACACGCTTGCTAACCTGTTCAGAAATATTTCTCTCACAGCATTATTTATACAAAGTTCCTCCAAAGCGGGATTCGTCGGCGTATGCAATTGTCCTTGTTGGCCATGCTGCGAAGCCATTGTTAAAACTGGAGGTGAACGTAAAAGACCTTGGTCATCGAGATTGCTCGTCGACTTCTTGCGAGATTTCCGAAGGTTATCCGGAGTATCCACAACCTTCTTTGCTACCGCATGAACCTAGCAAAAGGACAAACGACCAGTTAATTTTTGCTTGTTACAGCACGAAAACATCCTGGGCATCTTATTAAGCGTGGCACGTAAAAATATTGCTAGTTAAGGCGCATATTTTTGCTGACCTGGCCTTCGTGGTTAAATAACCTTTTCTTTGACAATCCTTTTAATGTACGACACACACACTGCAAGAGACCTGTTGGCTCGGAGCCTTCCTACTTCTATATGTTCAATGAGAGCAATGCCTTGCACCGCAACCGCATAGACGACCAACATTTAAAATCAACATACATTAAATTACCTTATGAAAGACATCACTATGATGTTGCGATATTTGCTGTGGTGTCGGCAGAATGCCGGAAAATGATGCTCTCTCGCGTACTGCTAGCTTCTCGGAGTCGACGCTGATATCAAGAAAAGGCAACGAATGCTTTTTAGATGAGCGTCGCTTCTTATCCGCGCGGGCCTCACGGTCTGGCGTCGACGGGGTTCGAAGTTCATCGACGGGAGCGATTACGATTGTAGACGGCACCATTGCTAAAGACAGTAACGCGTTCCAATAGAAAAACAGGTGTTAAACGAAAAGCTTGTCCGGACAATATAACCTGCGTCATGCGACAAACCTTAATTGGTGCTCCAAAATGACGGTTGTTGCATTTCCATAGTAGAGACTTTCGGTAGCGTTTTCTGTATTGAAATGATTGTATATTCTATGTAGAATAACATTGCGGAGGATTGTGTTTCAATGTTTGAAAATCGTTTTATATGGAGCCTAGTCTACGACATGCGAATTGATGCTCACACTCAACGACAGAGGACGCTGTTGTTGAGAAAGCTGGCTTTTCAGGAAGAGGCAACTTGAAGACATTCGTCAGCGTATCTACAAGTTCCCGTGCTAGTTCCTGACGATGAGGAAACGGTGGAAGATCTTCAGGCACCTTCACTCGACAATTGTCCAAGTCGACTAGGCAAAGGTTGGCCTAGAGGGAAGCACATAGGCGAATGTATAAAACAAGAAAACGAATAGCCAATTTAGCTACTTCGAATCATGTGTTATTGGACATATAACTGCAGCACAAAGACGTCAAGATACGTAACAAGTGACGGGATAATGAATCATTTTAGAAATTTAGGATTGCTCTAAGCAAAAGCTACCTAAGTACCAAAAGAAACCGAAGCATGGATTATTTCGAAATTGTCAGGCAAAACATCTATAGGTGTATTCTTGCCAACTAACCTCTCCTGGGACTATATTGGCAAGCACTTCGGGGGCCTGGCCGGCCGTACACAGACCCATTATGTAAGGCACCGGGGCGTCAAGGAAATTGTGCAGCGGCGCCGGTAGCACAGGAACGTAAACATGTGCCCATGCAAACGGAAAAAGTAACGCTGTCACGCATTCGGCGACGAGCATCAGCTTATAGTAATCTAAAACGACAAACAAAATAGGTTCATGACAAACACTCACCTATTAAGAATGTTATAAAATATCGTCGAAATTCCTAAGGTTTTCTTATAAAATGTGTGTCCTTTTTTTTGTTGTAAATTGTCTAAAGCTTTTGATTCAGATTGTTCATTTTTCTGTATGTGTTTGTAGCACAGAAATATATTTATAGCTTTTAGTATAAAACCCATTTTCAAACGGACGTTTTGACCGCGGCGATTTCGTCTATTTAGACCTTACTTTCCATATCACACTACCTATACATACATATGCACACATATTTACGTCGAAATACATCGACAAGCTGTCTCTTAAAGCTCGATTTCGATGTAAAAAAGCAATGCCGCAGTCTTCTTCCAAGCCAAGATGGGTTCCTCCAAGAAGTCACACTCTCTTAGCTAACCGTTTTGGTAGGCCGCTGCATCTAGCTCCACATGTTTGGAGCATCTACACCTTGTTCTCCGAGCAAAGGCGGAGATCTATCTAGCTATATGTGGTCATACGCGATGGGAATGTCCATGCGCGTATGGATCCGACCTTTTCGTTGAGTGTACCTAAATTCGTGAGGAGGTTACAAATCGCTGTTGACCTAATTGTTGCCGACGTATCGCCACTAAACGTAAATGGGGGGCCGGATAACCCTGCTGGGTAGTACGTCTAGTGGTTAGTTAGTAAAACTAGCCGCTTATTTGACGCCGATCGAAGATCTCTCGGGCTGAATGTAACTACGCAACTGCTACGGAGACTTACGCGAAACACTATGTCTACGAGGATATATATGTGTGCAAATCATTAACCTGCTAATGCCGCATTTAAGCCGCTGTAGTTGCGCAAGAAAAATTCCCAGCCCTCCCTTCTGTCATTCTTTTCGATGATTCGCAGGTTGTCTGTGCCGAAAGCAGGTGGCGTATGGAGAAACATGCAATCAATATATATATAGTCCACAATAGGCTAGATAAGCGCAACAGACCAAAGGACAAAAGTCTGAAGTGCTAGACAAAATTATCGCTTTTGAGGTAATAATGGCCAGATGCATTTTCAGATTATTAGCTTTGTCGATTTACTCCCACTAGAAAAAATGGGGCGTTGAACGAGATAAGATAAAACAAAAGTAAATATTATAGCTTATTGAGGGACCATGATACTAACCTGTTGAATTTCTAGAACGATTTTATTTTAAACTTTAACAGAGTAAAACACTCGCGGATTTTCAGAGCGATACACATACACTTCATCCAATGTATAACACAAGCTTATTATATTGTAGTATATTTATACATATAGTAATAACTATTTGTCTGAGTCGATCTGATTCGACGTTATTGAATAATCCGCGAGCTATGGAACTGCTTCATAATTGGAGTTATTTTAGAAATTTTGCTGTTGGTACACGTGAGACGTCACATAGCCATAGTATTGGAGGCAGCTTTTAGGCTGGTCAGCCGCTTTTTTTTCTCGCCTGTCTTAACCTGTAGCTTGTAATTAGGTCAGGTGAGATTCTAAACAAATTCATATCTTGTTATTAATGGTAAAAGTGAACGTGTTCAAACACAATGATAAGTTTGCATTAAACAACTTAGGTACAATATGGTGGCTGACAGCCTTTTTCACAGAAGAAGAGAACAAATACTTTTCAATAGCGCTATTCGCGCCATAGTCTACATGTATGCGAGTCCAAAAGTTATTATTTTTGCGACCGTTTTTCTGTCTAGCAATGAAAAGCTAGACGGTTCGAGTTTCTCTGTTCTGGGTCGTAACGAGCGTATTCCGTAGAGATCGAATTTACCATATACCATATGAGATATAAGTGTCTTTATGATATATTCACTTACCTGATGCGCAGAGGAGCACTTGGTTCTCAAATAATACACTGGTGAACAATTGCAGGAGATTCTCAACACCCAGAAGAAGAATAAGCTCACGGAACGAATAGTCAAAATGCGGCAATTCCATCGATCCTGTAATTATTGTTATAAACCGTTGGTATTCGTTTTCAAGCAGTACATACAGGTGGTCGCCGTCAATGGCCTCTATACCCCAAAGCGAGCCATCTCAAGTAACGTTTTACGCCGGTATTAGTAATAACACTAGAAATATTTATTCGAGACCAGTAGAAACACTTTTACAACGAACAAAATCACACTTACGTACGTTCTATCATTTTTGTTGTCAACAATAAAATTCAATTTTCTAGCTCAAAACTATAAGAAAAGAATGATGTAATTAACCATTTGTACGCAATATACTGCAGCTTCAGAAATGCTAGAGTCTAGAGCGCAGTGAGAACGGCAAAGGAGCAAGTCAATAGAGTGGCGACAATCAAGATGCCGGTGAACGAAGGTGATATTAACATTAATAATTATTAGAGTAATCTAATATATATATATAATGCGTGCAGGGAATTAACAGAGTGACCTAAGAGGTACTGGTCCACGTTCATAGGACGGCTATATTTGTTAGCACACTGCGTGTTCGTTTAAGTACGGACCAAAAACAAACAGTGCCGAAAAATCAAATTGATTTAAACCAGTCCCCCTTACAGGTCTGGGCTCGAACCAAAATACAGACAAACATTGTTCCGTGCTGGGAGCCGGCCGTCTGTCTGTGGAATGGTACAGCGATACCGGACGTAAAACTCGAAAGATAAAAGTTCAAACCTGTAGACCTAGTGGCCGTGATAACTTGCTTTATGTCAACTGAAATTCTTTTGTTGTTTCTCTTTAGAGAACAACGTCTTTTAGCTATTTTGCTTTAGCAGAATACGATAGCTCCATGAGAAACCATGGCCATTCAGACGATTGCAATGCAGTTAAATAATGCCATTGTTGAGTTTGTAACCATTCTACGCTATAGTAAACCGTATTTCTGAGTTGGCGATAGGAAGCGTTAGCAAATCAACCGCAAATGATCACCAGGTAATGCACGAGCATTACATCGCTCTTAACATACCAGGCTGTTGAAAAATGATTTCATCGTACAGATGACAAAGTTGGACACTCTTGCCTTGATCTGGCATAGGCAACTCGTAGAGGACATTATAGAGGTAGCACTCGTACGGTAATTGCGGAGGTTCTGCTGCGGTAATCATTCGATGCCACGATTGAAGAATCACCTGCAAATGGCATTGAAACGAGATTATATAAAAACAGCTGTACGCATGTATATATATATATATATATATATATACTGAGTATCGAAAGGGTATTGACCCCTTTTTAAGCCGAAATTTCCGTAAGGACTTTTTGTATCTTAAAGCAGTAGTACTGAACCAAATATGCGCCATCTTGATTGATAACCCGTGGCATTTTTTCGGGTAACACTACAATCCCATTACTACAAAGGTTCTGTGGTTTCTGGGCGAAAATTTGTGCAAGTGATTTTCGCATTCCCCATTAAAACTTCGTTAACTCCATTAAGGGAGTTCTGAAGAAATCGAAACAGACAATAGTTTAATCGTGTAAGATCCAAGCTATACGGTGGATGCGTTGAAGTTTCCCATCTAGATTTTGTCAGGTTTTGCCGGGTAGCTAAAATGCTCTGGCATTATATATGGTAAAAGACGACGCCTTTCCTGGTCGATTTTTTTTAATGGCTTATTATAGTCTTGACAGTAGAGACTCGAATCAATTGTTTTGGCAGGCAGCAGCAGCAGCAGCAACTCATAATGTACGATTCCTTCCCAATCCCAAGTCTGGGCCCTGCCATAGGTTATGGAGCACATTTCTTTGTCTATTATTATCTTATGTGACCTTATTTATACCATCCGTGATCAAGCGCTTTATAAGTGATTCGATTATATAGAGTTCCGCGAACGGAAATACGATCGAGTAACTCTTTTGCATCAATCCGTGTGACCCTCAAAACAAAGTTTTTTTCCAGTGTTATTCAAGGGTCAATACCATAGCTACTCGCTTGTCGGCCTCGCTCACCTTTTTTCGTATCTGATTAAGTAAGGTGTCTTTCACATCGAAATTTCCTGAATGGAAGACGATAAGGCCATCTTCCAACAACTCGACCATAAACAGCATACATTGTTCTTGGGCCTGGGCAGCATATATGCATGCCTTTATCACAACAAAATTTTAAAATGTAGTGAATTTTTGCAGAAATCGAACTCATCTGGCTGAATAGAGGCCTTACAACAATTTTAGCACATATACTATTATTAAATAGCAGCTTTCAAGTGACCTATAATATTTAAGATATATTAGTTTACTTTAAAGTTATTTAACTAGAAAAACAGTTCAATCTATATAAAAGTTGTGAAAAATTGATTATGAAAATTCTGGATCAGACCTATTGGCTGAAACTTGACCACGTATCTACACATTGTACGTCTTGGTCCAATTTCCACAATCACTGAACAATATAGTTATTATCAGATCGAAACAATAGGTTTAAACAGTTAATTAGTTGTTTATGGACGATAATTTTATTTTAAAGATGCTATCGTCAAGAAATTGTGGATGCGCCGGCCGGAAGTTTCTCAATGGCATACACTACCATCGCGGCTAGTTTTTAACTCTTCAAGCGTTTAATTCTGACATCGAAGACGATAACTATTTAGTTATTTTTAGGTCTAAATTTATAACAACGACCACGATGATGATCAGGATTACCATTTTTATTATATTCTTTATAACAACGTATTTTCGGAAACCGTCTGATGATCTGACCTTTGCGACGCACACTATTGGCATGGTCGATATCAAACATATAGCCTTGACGCTGTAGAGAGTGTCTTTGTTAGGGTCGTATAGGGCACCAACCGGTTCGCTGTGCACCTGCAAAAAATCCATTCGTCCACAAAAAAAAGGCCACCTCCATGTCAGACAGAACACCTTTCAACCTTAAAGAAACAATACATATTCAATGCCAGAGTAGCTTGCCTCTGTAGCAATTGGTCACTAGCATTGTCGGTCACCTTAGGAATAAGATTTGGAAGAAGAGCAGTCGAAGCTCTCTTTTGCGACCTTTACCGAAAGGGGAACAAATTTATTTTGCCACGCTGATGATCGTAAATGTCATAATATATTACTGGCTAGCGTAGCAGTCAATTACCGATGCATTTACAAGCTTAACTATTATTCAGGTAGAGTGCGTCTAAGTCGCCGTTGGCGACGTCCTCACGCGTGGTAGTGGAAACATACGCTATCCACTGAAGTTAGTAATGTAGTAAAGGCAAAGCTGCCATTACGGTTGTAGATCTAGGTTTTTACTGATAAACTTGACGCAGGTATTTTTCCACTGCAAATTGCGAACTATAAACGATACATATCAACTGCCGTTAAAGGTGAAATTATTATAGAAGTAAATAAGGTTGATCTAAACATGCTCACTTTTTTCTAGAATATGGCAATAAATACAACTGTTACTTATTTTGCTCTCACACATTCGACGACAGAACACAATACTTCCGCAACTCGTATATATTTGTATAGTAAATCATCAAACGGATGTAAACGAACAAGCTGATCACGCACCGACGATATCGATCTCTGAGATATCTTTCTAACATAGATAAATTTCTCTGATCCAAACAAGATTCTTATTTACTCATCACGTGTACGTGGATGAGGACCTTTTTCGTGGCGAGCTTTGGACTGAGTAGTCGAAACGATCTGGGCAGACTCCGCGAGATAATTCCGGACGAATGGGCTCTAGCCTCGTTTAGCTCAGCCAGATACATTTGCTGCAGAGTGTGTAATGCCGTGCAGACGTCTCGGTCTCCAACCTAAAACAATTATTACTAGACAGTTGAATTCAATTGTATTATAGTACTCACTTTACCCTTTCAATATTATAGTGTCCCTATTGGACGAGATGTAGTCCGTGAGCTAGCTTCCAAAAAAAAACCGATTATTTGCATAGTTTCCAATGAATCTCTTGCTTTTTTATTCTTCTATAAAGAAATCCCTAACCATATATTTGAGGTTAAAACGTCTATAGTTTCCATTATGAAAAAAATGCACATTAATAAACCCCTATGCTATCGAATGGTATTAGGTGGTGTTATTGAGTGGTTTACTCGAATTTCTTATCATCAACCTCACGTCAACAATGAAAATAATTTAGAAAATCATCAAAAGTTGTAAGATTTGTTACATTTCACGGACTCCTGAGGCCTCCCGACAGCGAAGACTCGCTAAGCGTCTGCGAACTGCGAATCATCTTGATATGACCAGTAAGTAGTATATAATTCTACTTGCTAATCGAACCTAAGATGATCTTCGGTAATTCAAATAGCTAAAAAATCACTGAGCGGAAAACCGAAACTGAGCCGCCAGTGATTATTACTCTAGGGCTCAACCTGATCAACGCCATAACGCACGACGGTTACCTATCATTGGTATTGTTCATAAGCGAACGGCATCGTAGCCGTTGCTGCAAAGGTCGCTACAGCCACCCTTCTATTAAGGCTCAAAGCTCCTACGTTTCTAACATCTGTACTAGGGATTTGATCCCTTACCTCTTCGTAGAATAGCAGCGCATGGCCGTACGATCGCGACCCGTCCGCCCTCGTGACAATAAACGTGTGAAACCACGAGTTGGATTCAAGCACTTTCATCTTCTTCTGTGTGCAAAACGTCAGTCCTGACGGTAGGCATAGCTGAGATAAAACAGGACAATAAGCAATAGACAAAAACAACAATAAGCCATAATTACTTCTTCACACGCGTGATAATTTCGTATAGAATGGGCAACTTTCACATTTTCTGTACGTCGACAAAAAATACCCTGATAAAAAAACAATGTGGTGGATTATTCGAATGTTTAACTGTAAACATGAATATTATTCTAATCTAAATCCTTGCGTAAAAATCTGACTCAGTTTTATGCTTTACGTATTACGTAGAGTATTACGTTATCCTGAGCTATTAAATATTTCGCATAACTACTGAACTAGGCACAATTAGGAAACGAAATTTCGTAGGTGTTATCACAAGATCTTTCACTATTTAAAATCACAAGTTGACCAAGTATCATCAGATCATTATAAGTTTAGGTATACGTATTGTTTAAAAAGAAAAAAAATGCTAGTGGGATCCATCGAAGACTAATGGAAGCCTTGGGAAAGAAGGCCCACGGTAAAAGAGTAGTTTATTACTGCTGCAATCATTTGGAGGACAGAAATTGTGAGGTTGAAGACCACAAGGCTGCTACACCTCGAAACTTGAATCGCAAAAACGAGGGGCTGTGATAACCAAAATGTTTAAGTAAAATAGAGCATTGACAATACACTCCAGTCAGCTCAATGTAAAAAGACACGTTATAAAGTTGCAACAAAAAGGGTAAACATAACGATGAAAAGCTAAAAGTTACCTCTTTACAAAGTCTGGAACAGAAGGTACGCTGAAATCTAACGACAATTTGCGCAATTTTTATCAGCAAAAGTCGGCATAGAGCATACGGTCGCTGTAAATAAGACTGTGTCAACTACCAAAAAAGGAAAATGGTGTCTAATAGGAAAGTGATGGCCGTGGTGAATAAATCCGGATGTAAGCTACTCCGGACAATTTTTATTTTTATTTATGCAATATGACAATTTTATGCGTAAATATATTTTTGCTATGTGAGGGGTTTGTTTGTATTTTACATTCGTGTTGCCGTAACGCTTAAGCTATACGCAAAAATTGAGAAGTAAATCTACCACATATAATAAATCAGAGGAACGTACGCTCATCGAAAAGATCATCAAACTTTCTAGGTACATTATGCGGGAGTAAAAACTTCGTAATAGCACCATGTAACCTGTTTCTAACCAGCTGCCGTACGATGGGATTGACCATTTTTCAATAATAAAAAGAAAATTGATTTCATTGATTCTAAATCGACCTAGAATTATAGACTTCAGCTTAGGTAGATTAGTTTTCATAGGTGGATGCGTAATCAGTATTGGATTTGTTTTTATTTATGAAACGCCGCACTGTTTTAAAGAAGAACTCAAAGAAACTCGATCAGTAATAATAATCACACTTGCTAATCTACTCTGGCTGTAACTTCACTATTAAAAAACTATTAAAAATAAGTAAGCTATCATAAAAGGTCTACAGTTTCCTCAGCCTAATGGTAGTAGTGTTATTTGATCACTCTGTAAACGAGGCTAATCCATGAATGAATTACCGATGAGTATAGTCAAAAGCGAAATCAATGAGATCCGATTTATCAAATACGGCCACCATGACTGAAACAATACCCAAAGCTATTGTCTGAAGGAAACGATGGAATTATGAACAAGAAATATTAAGTGGGCCGCGTGTAAATAACTATAGCCTACTATGGGTATCTAGGGCTGCGATGTACATCATTGAACAGTTACGTGCAGTAAACCCATTATAAGTTCTTTCTTATGTTTCACAGTTAAAACCAAACAAAAAAATAAGGAAGCAACTAATAAATCCATTACATTTTGCATGTGTGATTTGCCTATTGTTCTCCAATTGATACTAACAAACAGATCCGTTGTACTATTCTGGAAACTATTCGAGATAGTCAAGGGGGGCCCAGATATATTTAGGTTCCAAAGATGTTTTGAGCCAACAATATAAATCGAAGATGTCCGGTAGCCATCAACATCTTCCAAAAAAAAGAAACAACAGATTTACCTTTGGGATCAATATGAGTGAGCTACAAATGAATATATTGACACCAAAATAGCGATCCTTATGGTGTGGTGGTCCACTTCTATTCAGACGAAACTCGCACGACTAAATAGGTTAGAGTTCAGGGAAACAAAGGGCGTAGGTAGAATGAGATAGAAACCTTTAACTGATGATTAAATCCTGTGTATATAAAACTAGGCGATCTCATGAATTTCGCTCACACCTGCAGATTATCTTACTTAAACCAGAAATGAAATCTTTTCTATGACCCATGTTCACTCCAAATCAGCAAGGGGTAATCTCTAATCACCCTATTATTATATTATATTAGGAATATAGAAATAACATGCAGCTGTCTCATTAAGAGAAAACATATCATATAGCCAGCCCTTGGTATTTGTCATCTTTCATCAGCAACACAGTCGCTAATAATCGACTCAACGTGTATATATATATATATATATATATATATATATATATATATATATATACAAGGGGAAAAAGGGGTTATTTTTCGCATGAGAGAAGCAAGGATTAGTTACACCTGCGGGTGCAGTTGACGAAAACATTTTTAAGTGTGTAACCTCTTATCAGCATTAACAAATAATTACGCAGCATATAGATAAACTATGTATCACGAGAAAATATAAATAAAATTACCTTTGGTCTGTTATCCATTTTTTAAAGTATAATTTATTTTAATTTAAATATAAATAAATACAAAATAAATTTTTTTAAACTTCGTTATCTTCACGTCGATAGCTTAGCACGTTTATATGGGTGTAAACGAGGGTTTCCTAAAAACGAATCCGCCCTAGAAAACTCCGTTACATACACAGTGTTGACAAAACTGTATAAGCGGAACTGAGACTTACCATATTAATGGAATTAGGGTCTATAGTGTGGCCTTCGACGTGTTCGGGGAAGTGAACAAGGGCCTGCGATTTATAGGATCGTTCCAAAGGCGTTACTTGACTCTGTTCCCCTGAAATTCAAAAAAAGATTGCGTGGTAATACACGATATGATAATAATAGATTGAACCTAAACACTTGTAGTAGCTCTGAACACACCGACTCAAATACCTAGCTATCTCATTCTTAGACAAAGGGAGTATTGCACAGGAATCTAGCTGACATTATCTTATTATTTTTTGTTAATCTAATCTTACGTAAGTTGAACTGCTTAGGTTTTGTGTAACTGTTGAGTTACCCTATAGCCTATCGGCCTTAAGCCCTTTGTAATTATCTCGTTCCAGTTTTTTTTTACCCACACCGCAATTATTCCGTTGCGCTATTTCAACAAATGGATTGCATTGTTTTTGCAAGCTCTAGAAGTAAACTTTGCACTCTTGAGATGAATCCTGAAAAGTTACGATGGCCCTGGTTAATTGATGGGTCGCCGCACCCAATCGTCTAGTAAGAACACCTCAAAAGTCACCCTATATCCACGACTGACAGCCAAAGATAAAGGTAAAGGCAAATGGTAATCGAAAAACTTATTTTAATTGAAAATAGGCTAAAAAGTTAAAGTAAAGCCATTAACGTCCCGCTTCACGGCCAATGCTATTCTAGTAAGTAATCGTTATTTGTTTCGAATTAAATACGAGACAGAGTTAAATGAAAGATCGTCCATTTTTGCTATATTAAATGTGAATCTTCGCAGTTCCATTGCATTTTAATATTCGATTATTACTTCAACTTAAAGTGGAAGATCTATCGCTTGCTCAGAAAAGGCCAGGTTTCATATGCGTATTTATGTTGCCCCTAAAGGAATTCTGTCTCAATTTTTCGTGAAAAAAGAAGGGAGCGTGTCAGGACGCGTAAATTATGGCCTTATAAACTTAGTTTCACATACATCAGACTACTGTGTAATATATATAATAGTGACAAGTGAATAAGAGCTTAAAATCGATGCGCGGGGTTCACTGTTTCCAGAGACAAAAATATTTTGTTTAGAAGTTCTTACTACGAGAGCGTATTCTGATTAGCAGGAATATGTAATCAAAAAAATCCAGCACAACTATTTCTAACGATACACATATGAAGGATTATGGCATACGTTTTTGTGAAATAGAAACGCGTACAATTTCTACCATCTCGTCCAAATTTTATGATTCTAATAATCATACTACTATAAATGCAATTATCATTATAATATTAACTTTTTAATGGTTTATTTGTAGGGACTTAAATCTTATATAGTTATAGTCTAATCGCATCTTATTGTAACTAACTGGATGTATTGTTACCCAGGCGTACTGCGCTTTTTCGCTGATAAATCATTTAAGTTTCGAAGTTGTGCCCAACTGTTACTGTTGTCAGCATATACCTATTGCTGGACAAAAACACTTTTCAGAATCATGAAATAGAGATTTCTGCACGCCTGTACTTTGTTTGACAGAGGATTCAACTAACTAGCTTCTTGGGAATATTTCCGCTTCTATGGGAGCAGAGACACAAGTCGTTTAGGACTCTTGATTCGGTAAAACTGTGTTAATATACCGAGCTGTTGTTTGTATCCCACTAAGCATTTGTCATGTATGATATATCTTGGAAATAATATTGAGCTTACTGAGCTAGTTAATTACTCTAAAATATCGTCCATATGCTAAAAATTGATATTCGGGATAATCTAACGCATATACGGAACCATATGGGGTGTCCGCCCCACGCACGTCATGTATCTCTATCGTTTATTTGTGAAGTTCAATTATAAAGTAAAAAAAAAAAAGGATAAAGCTCACTTTAATTCGATAGTGCGAAATATTCCAGCTGCGAAACAATCAATTGTTACTTAGAAGATGGAAATGTTAAAAAAATGCTAAGTGGAAATGTTTAAAAAAAACTTTTTTTTTGGCTGAATGAGGTAAGAAGATATCTATGCGAAAAAAATTCACAAGTTTTTGAATTGTGAAGGCTTAACAATGTCCAGGTGTAGCTATACAACTGTACACAGTCGCCGAGTGATACCGTAGATGAACCCAAGGTTCTACAGTTTTTCTATAATTGATTCGGTTTAATTTAGCCCAAAGATTAGATCCAGTATGAAACCAGATACGATACACAAAAAAAAAAAACTACTAAAACCCGTTAGAAAAGCAAATCTCAAAAGTAGTGCCAAAAACCCAGTCAGGCGCGGCTGCATGGAGGAAAAAATAATGCTTTATCGATATATATGTTTTTATCTTTTATCACTTGGGTCACCTATTTGTTATTACTAGTTAGAATATGTATATAGATTTACTGTTAACGTATCTATGTGGTCTTTGGATTAAAACAATATTGTATGTTCAAGGATTTAAATATAGTCACTACTATCTGCCAGCTGAATTAGATATAACTATAATGTTTATCACAAACATCTCACGTCGAACGTTTGAATAGTTGCGGGATCTGGCCAGAACCATAAAATTTAAAAGAAAACAATCGATTATGTTTACCAGTGGCCTTGGATGATACATCTACAGCTGTGCCACTAACCAAAACATTAACAAACAACTTTTTTTTTTTAGGTATTAGATTTAAATTTTGACATAGTTTGAGCCTTTGTTTGTATACAGCGCCACCTGTGTGGTCTGTGTGCCATTGTCTAAGGAACTGCCTAGTTAGAGCTAAGGTCATGGGGAAATATGGAATTCCCATAATCGACTATTTCATCCATTTTCCTACAAGCTCTTACACATGATTACACATCTTATACACTGGGGCGCTTTGAGGTAACAAACTTCCAATGGGGGATTCGACGAAACGCTGCTCGACACCGGTAACTTCATGCGGTTGAATACATTGCACCAGTCTTCCAATACATTATAGTTTAAATGGACTTAACGAATGAACAATCTAACGTTTTCAGGTAATTGAATCTACACAGTATATAATGGTACCGTCTTACCCTCTACTGATCTCAAGAGCTACGGATTCTGTCACCACTGTCTGTTAATATCGAAGAAGTACCTTTTGAATAAAGAATTAACAAAGATTATTATACAACTGTGAAATGACTTTAAGGTTTTTGGGGACACCAACGAGAAAGTAGGATGGCAAAGGTCTACTCAATTGCAGCGCATCCGCTTAGGGCTAGACGTTGAACTTCAGTTTGTTTTTTTCTTAATCTCGCCTTCTCTCCATAGAGTAGTGGACTACCGTTACCATAAAAACCCCTCAAAAAGATCTAATTTGTTCGCGCTCTCACTAGGTTTTCCTTCGTCAGTGGAGTCTGTCAGAGTGAAGCAGCGTAGGGGCAGTACTAACTACAGCGAAATCAGCATCACCATTAACACCCGCCCTCAGGAAAGCCTTCCGGCCTACGTGAGAAAAACCGCAGCCATCCACTCATCATAGCTCAGTCTAACTATTCGTAAAGAGCCGCACAGTTTGCTCATTTCGATCATCACCAGCCCCGACAGACTATCCCCACAGCCATTGCAGGCCCCGCGAGCATGTCACAAGAGGGGCCGGTCTGATGCTGTCAGCGAAGCTAATCCTTATTAAAGCCACTGACACTACGCCAATATAGGACACGTCAATGAAAGAAAGAAAAAAAATCAGACAGGAAGGATGCGAGAGCGAAGATGGTCCAGCCTGTTATATGACGAGTCAAAGAAAAAGAGCAGACGAAATGTTTGCACGCAAAATATAAATATGAAGGAGCAGCGCTCGAAAACCAGACAGTTCCTCTGGACTCCACCGGAAACTCTGCTTAGTCTAATGGCTGATTACTATAGCAATTGTATCGTATGACGTGTAGACTGTTGTAGATAACCTGCTTGAGAGGTATAGCTTGTTTTTTGTCAGTAAACGGGCCGTCTACACCGATTTTATAGTGGGAGTGCTACTTTTAAGTTAACTCACTAATATGTAATTTAAATTATTACCTGATAGCAAACAGCTGCCTTTCAATATTACAAGCTACTAAGATGGCGCAAATTATATCTCAATTTGGTCTTAATAAAGTTTATTTCTCCTAGAACACTGCTGGCATAAAAGTATTTGAAACGCGTTCATTTCCGAGCACATAGAGATGCATCTGTTTAGGTTTACAATGTATCTGATAAGCAAAAATGATCTTCCCTTTATATCGGTGTCAGGGCATTTGTTCAGACACTCACTGACAGTTGTCTATTGGCATCTCTTCACAGAAATGAGAAGCATTTGTTAGTATAACATGCCAGTGGTTTGATAGAAAAAAGTTTCGGGAGTTTTGAGCGCCTTCTGTAGCCCCCCAAAAGCCTTGGTAAGTGGCTACACTCTCGGACGGACAAACGCCTTACGATCGTACAGGTTTGTGTGTACTATTGAAAGGCTCATTCAGATCGTTGTGACAATCAAATTAAGCGCCACCAAATGCTACTTATTATAAATAGGCGGTAGCTACTAAGTTAAGAGGACGCTAAAAAATACGGCGGGAATTCCTTTCAATCTGGTATCAATAAATGGAACATAGTCCTTCTAACCAAAATTTCGTATATAAATATATATGCCAGCACGAAACTGTTTGTTGTAGATATATGAAAGCCTATTTCTGGATATGTTCAAAGAAAAATAAAGGCCTTCCACATTTCACATCATCATTATTATTAGTTCCTTAATCTAACAGTTGTGATGTATGAAAACCATAAAATGCTTGTCGTCATAGGTATGTCCCCGCATAACTTCGAAGGTGAAGTTACTTGTATTTCCTCCTTATACGTCTAGTAACAATAATTTTGTTGCGTCAAAGACTGCCTTATTTTTCCGGATTTACTTTTCATAATTCCTTTGGCATATCAAACTTCGGCTCTTGGGTGTACCTTACCAACGATTGGAGATACAATTGACGACATTTCATATCATCTAAATGCACGTACCTCTGTAGCTTAAATGTTTCAACTTCGAAACGTAGCAGCGTCTGTATGAGCACTAACGGAGTCATCATAAGAGAATGACAAAGAATCGCTTTTATTTATTATTGTACAATGGGCTTTTTGCCAGAAAAAACTGAATCAGCTGGGCTCGTCGCATCACCGGTCTTTTGCCCAGCTCAGCTCCCAAATATTCAAAATCTGAGTTTATTCTAACGACCTGTATTTCCAATAGTCGGTGTTCAATGAACTGTGAAGTCGATGCTCCGTATAAAGGAAAGAGCAACTGAGACGACTTGTCTACGATGGGGCAAACGGGACGACAGGCCCACAATGGCTATTCAAAGGCGACAGGCAGACGAGCACTGTACAGTAAAGCCGCAAACCCGACAACCCCAATATGATACGTACGTTCATTCAACTTGCCGCATTCTATCGAAGCTCAATTGTGCGACCACTATTGTGACTGGAGCTCTATGGGTTGTGTCTGTGTAGTCAGAAAAGGCGGGTGGCAAGGGAACCGGACACCGGTTTTTCTGGCCAGGAACAGACAGAGCGCGAGGGACTAAATGAGCAAGTTCTGCAAGGAGGCACTAAACATAATATAGGTCATAAGGCGGCGTTGTAGTAAGGGGGCTTTCTGGGATAAGTTGAACGATATTGGAATGGCGAAGTTAGCTTTAGCTAGCACCAAAAGCCAACGAAGTAGGTTTACGGAGTCGACGACAGGCCACCGCTCTGAGAGACTGGAACTGGGCAATTTGCAATGGTGGACGGTCAAACAGACAGACACGCACGCAAACAGACTCAAAATAGGAGAGGTAAGTCTGAAATGGTATTCTGGGCAAGAACTTGACTTTGACGAAAAGTATGAGCATTTAAGGAAAAGTAAGAGAGACTTATGCGCTAAGCAAAGTCCTAGCTCGACCTAACACGAATTTCACTGGCATACGCGCCAGCTTCTAAACTAGTAGCACTTTGCGCTTACTGGCCAGATTGGGCTGTGGACCTGGGCAGCAGACTTTTCCGACGACCTAGGCAATGAAGATGTTAAAATAAGTAGCACGCAACACCCTCAGTTCTCTACCTCTGGCTGCTCACAATCTCATACGTTTCTGACCGACTACGGTGTTCTTCTAATCTTTCTGGAGTTCTAGATATCTTTGTTTCTTGGCTGCATGCTTTGCCTGCCGGCGTTGCCTAGTCAATGGGGGCGACCGCGGTGCCAAGCTAGCAACCCTTCACGACAACCGGCGTATTCGTGTTTGCCTAAAGCTGCATACATATGAGCGAAATAATGCTTGCAATGTGAAAAAAATGTCACAAAGTTGAACTCCCTTAGCGACCTTGTACGAATATATGTCGAGGGGTACAGCCGTGTGGCATATCCCAATGCTAACTACTGCACATACGCAGAGGGACACTGCAGATACATGCGTTGAGTACGTTTGACGGGATATGCGTTTTACAGACTATTTTCTAGTTGCAGGCTGGTAATAAAGCGCAAACAATACAATATTTGGATCAAACAAAGTCAACGCGCCATACACAAACGACTAGCCAAGACATATTCATAAACAATCTATAATGCGTTTTTCTTTCGTAATCTGCATACTCTTTGTATAATATATCCGTACAGTTCTACCCGTACCTTGTTGAGAGTTAGGCTCGAGCCCGTTATTTAGATCTAATCCACACACGACCACATAATCTACTAGCCGCCTGCCATTACTGCACAGCGCCAGCTTATCGTTCGAGTCCATTTTGTTACTCCTATAACAATTATCACCGTTTTTCGCTATAGATGACTACTATGAACCGTCTTGTTTCGATTTCGCTCCGGCTTCTTGGATGGTTTTCTCTGCGAAATATCCCATTTTCACGATGGACTCTCTTCGCGTTCACCGTTCCCCTGATGAACCATGAATATCCTGTTATTTTTCTATAAATTTTCACAGTCGTTCATTGTATCTATTACAATATTTTGTGCAATGGTTTTTCCTGCTGTCACCCCGTACTTTCACGTTGATTCTTGCTCAACGTGAATTTCATTGCTCTTTATCCTTTAAAAGTACGCATACACATTTCAAGTCACCCAGATAACCAATGGTGGTGATCACAAGACAAAAACCTTTTATAATTGCTTTCCAATAAACGGCCTATGACCAACCCTCTAAAAGCGAGAACACACATACGCAAATAACGTTTGCAATTTTTACAGGCACTGCTGTCACGTTGCACTGTTGAAAATCAGCACCGCTATACTGCTTCACACTTTGTCAATCTGCCGCCCTGCGCCTCCTTCGTAAGCTTGGCATCAGTAGCAGCTGATATGCCTTGTATCCATTGAGTGCCGTCCCATTAACGTCCATCCTTGTTATCTCTCGAAACTCTGATCATTGCCGTTCGACGCGCTGCAGTGGGTTACTTTACCGCGGCACCTCCTCGCCAAACGATACTACCAGAGCCAATGGAAGGGCGCTGATCTTTGTGTACGTCGCAGGAGCGACTGTATAGACGGTAAAAAAAAGTGAATAATCATAGACAGGGCACGCGCCGTTAGAATGGCGACACAAAAAGGCTGACGAGAGGCTGGCTCTTCTGATAGAAGCTGAAATTAGAGTTTCTTCTCTTTCTGCCTACTATTGTACGCGAGCCAACGAATCTTCACGTCGGAGTATGATTTTGTTCGCAGGTCTGTCTAAGTGCGTGACGTAACGCATGTGCGCACGCAGCTATCGAACACAGCTGTAACATGGAGATTTTTTTAACAGCACTTCCCAGCAGAGACTGCTGCAGCCGGTATCGTTTCTATTAATATCGTTAGGAGCTTGAAATGACTAACTTTAAGCCAGCTGGTTTCTTTGGGGAAGGTGGCTCTACAGGCTGTTTTGCGCGCTCTGCCTTTGTTGTTCGCGCAGGTAAGCAGAGCTGGATGTCCGCAGCCATCGCGCTAACATGAATCATTATTTCTTCTATCTTCCATATTCTTAACACGTTTGCGTTGACTTCAACGTTCCCTCGAAAACTCACTATTGTTGACTATAGTCGACTTCGTCGCGAAGGTAGACAAAACGTGTCGACAAACCATCACAGCATATTAGGGGAGTTCCCAGACACAAATCGACCTAAACGCTGACAATGGTCGCTATTGAGTGTGTATTTATAACAATCCTTAATACGAATATGGTGTTTCGACGTATACATGAATGAGCAAATGCTGTTGTTATTCTGGCGTCGCGCTCGTTCACTGTATTGGTACAGTCACACAGAAACTTTCAATGTATTTGTGAAAAATTTACGGTGATGGCAGCTATTTGCGTCAACTAGGTGCACTTTGATCATATGATTGCAGGATGCACTCTAGGTCAACTCTGGGCCAACACAAATAGACAAACCGAACGTACGCGGCTCGTTGACTAGTGACCGTCCACTGCGGCCGCTGCTAATTCGGTCGTGTTTGAATGTTATAGTTTTCGCGCCACAGGTCGCAAAGTTCAGGGCCGAAATAATTCAGCGATCCGATCTACTCGTTAGCTGTTAATAAGCCGATAAATCGTTGAACCGTAGATAAGAAGTCGCCGCTCCAATCGTCAACTCGGCCTGCTGTATGAACAAATCGATATCAATACTTTGGCTATGGACAGTTTTGCTCATGGTTAGGGCGCAACCATTTAGAACGGCCTAGCGTCGTTTATTTGGCCCACCCTAGCTTGTAGACTTTGCAGTTTGCACTCAACTTCGACTATTATTCGCGCTAGCAAAAGATTGAGCCGCTTTTTCTGTTCGACAGAAAAATAAGATGTACAGTGACACTTTATCGACGACATGGCTCCGTCATTCTGTATCCATCTCGTTCCGCCTATCGCAAATGCGTACTCACTACCAAAAGTGTACGACACTACAGGGTATCGCAGCATATCGTTATCCTACTTCGTGGTGCCATGCAATGCCGTCGGATACCCCCTCCTCCCCCCTTCCCCCTCCCCCCACTACCGCACCACAAACAGACAGACAGACAGCAGAAGACACGGCCAACTTTGATACTCGCTGGCTGGTTCCCCACTATGCTCCGTTTTCACTTGATCGGTGTCCTCTCATTCGACAGAATGGGTATGATAAAGAACGAGCAAATAGTACTACTCCATGAGGCGTATGAGCCTACAAGAGCTTTCACCCCGCTTGCGCTCCGCTGTTTCCTGCTATCATTGTCTATACTTTAAAGCAGCTGCGCCATAATGCAGCATCGCTCTCCGGCACCTATCAGGCACATTGACAGCTTTTTCAAACTGGCTCTGACTAATCGACCGGTCGGTTGGGTTCCTTGAGACGGCCCAGCGGTAACATGTTTGCCAGTGAACTGGACGGCGCTCACATACGTTGTGTGGTTCGAATCGACGCGCAGACACAAAGTTTGATCCTCGGACAAAAAGAAAACGATGATCAACATAGTCGATTCGATCATATCCCACAACCCCACAGTCGGAGGAACCAACAAGACAAACAACAACGACGACGACGACGACAACAACAACGGTGGTGGTAACAACAACAACAACAACAACAACAACAACAACGGCGACGATAACGACAATCGACAGTGAGTAGGAAACCAATCTGATGGTCTGGGAACTGGCGCCTGTTACAGCACCGTAACAGCCGCACCGCGAAAACCAGCGAAACTCACAGCAACACTTGCAGTAGCGCCCCCAGCGATCGCGAATAACAGCTGGAGCTGCTCATAACAGCAGCGGCGGTGGCGACGCTATCAGCGGTCGTACCTCCCGCCGCTTCCGCCCTACGAGCAGGATATCACTCTCCTCGCGTTTGCCGCTAGTTCGCCGCCGTTGCTGCCGTTACCACTACCGCCACTGCTAATCAGCCTTCCTATTATCGAACAGGTAGCAACAGCAGTAGCGCGCAGTACCTAGAGAGCGAACGAGAAAGAGAGGGATAGTGCTCACACGAATGCCGGCGAAAATAATGTAGACCAATGGGCGCCAGCGATCGAAACTGGGGCTGCCCGCCGCTGTGAAGATCGGCGTCACCAACCAGCTCGCTCATTCGAGCAGACGGCTGCACCGCGGGGCGCCCCGCTGGATGAGGCCCATAGGGAGGGATAAGCAGACGCAGCAAAGCGGACGGAGACGGATAGCAGCGCCGAAGGGAAGGGAAGACCGTACAGATCCCAGAGGGGAAAGGGCAGGTAATGGCTGCTGTTTAGGGGGAGAGGGAAAGGGGGAAAAGCATTGGTGATGAAGAAAATAGCACCGCTCCGTTGCTCTGTGGCAGGTCTGGACATACTGTCAACCCAGCTGAATATAGAGAGATAGTCGACCGGGACAGCGCGCGAAGAGGGAGGACGAAATGGCGCGATAATTTAAATTGAAATTTCACCCGCAAAAAAAGAAGAAAAAAAGGCACAGGTAGGACTGGGCCCCACCTGTGCCTTCTTTTTTATCCGGGTTTTGCGGAATGTATTGGTCAGCTTCTTGCAATACGCTATGAATAAAGGAACTATATTTTACTACAAGCGATAAGACAGGTAAGAAAGGATTCAGTTTGTGAGATTTTATTTGAAGTTATTCGGCAAGTGGTGGCTAGAAAAAAATTATGTGATCAAATTATGGTATGCAGATGCCATGTGTTGCCTCACTCAATAGGCCTTTCCGATTATTTTGTTTAGAAAAAAATCGAAGCTGGTTGTAGTACTAGAGCACAAATCATACATATCTCCACCTAAGAGTATGAAAATCGCCACGCCTATTAGTCACTTCAGAGTGATATGGAGATGTTTCTAGGATAAATTTAAATTCTCGCCAGTTTTATTAATTATCGTCAGTGGTTTTTCCATAAATATGTTTTACTCAATTGTGCGAAATAGACTCTATTGTTGCGCATCTTTCTATCTGCAAGAATGAGATTAGGTCTTGCTAGACGTAGCGGCTCAGACAAACGGAACACAACGTTTTGTTGATGGTCAGCTATAGGGCTTTTAAAATCATGTGTACAATACTTCAAAGGTTACCATTTCTCAAAGGGCGCGTTGGCTTAAGTGATTAAGTCTACTCGTAAAAGAGATAGAAGCCGCTGGTTCAACTCGTGTGCATTACATGTTATTACCGGATTATACCGAAATTGATTGAATTTTCAAAATGCCAAACACTGTTTGCTGGTTACAGTAGAACACATTGAAATTGCTTTTGCGGCCATTGAAATGGCAAAACTGTAAAGGCATATGCTGAGAAATCGGTTTAGTGGAAAATATCTGTGTATGGTAGAAAAGTTTGCCTTATATCGCTGTAGCTCAACGCAACAACGATGACAAACGAGAAAGTTTTTGCCGCTAAGTGCTATAAAGTAAATGGAAGCGACCTAGAACAAAGGCAATCTCCTAATAATTTACGATATTGTGCACGCTAGAAGAGCCTAGAGCATTTTTTAATATCGAGTTCTACTTTGAAAACTAATTAAAATAATAAATAGATATACTGGTATATGGCGACAAGTTGTCGTTAGCTTACAACTGAGCAGAAACAGTAGAAAAAACAAATACGGCATGTATACCGTTAGGCTAAAAGTAAAACTTATTAACGCGGCCTCTGATCTAAAACCTCGTTGTTCATGGTGCAGTTTGCCGATGGCCATGTAGTCACGATGTCGAAACAACGATCATGATGAGTTAGAAAAACGTCACTTGATAGATGTCTATGGTATGCATTTTGAATGGATACGTGTATCTGTATAACGAAGATCGACAAACGGTCGAGAGACTTTTGCTTCACCTTGTATATGTAACTTTCTTAATTATAATTTTTTTTTTTAATTCATCACAGCTCTCTAACGTGAGCTAACAAACTGGTGAAATTCGCTCAGTCAGCGTCGTATTTGCTGGGGCCTAATTAATCTTTCCGATTTTTGTCACAGATAATCTATGTTACCTGTTAGAAATACACGTTTTTCGTAGCGTTTGGTACTTCACAGGTTACCCTAAACGTGAATAGGTCAGCTTGTGAACACTGGGTACTACCGTGCCTGCGAATTAAGCTATAATTCGAGCTTAAATATCACCAAGTTGTCGAGATCAGATACGACTTACGGCTTCGTATCATAGCAGGAATAAATCATGGAACAACCTCAGAATATTTTCATAAAGTGCTCAGGTCCGTACGTAGACTCAAAACAGGTTGGGTCGTCTAAAACAACACGGTTTCGTAAGTTTGAGAGCTGTACACATTTATCTAAGCTGTTTATAGTTTCATACATTCTCAAAGTATTATAAAATATCATCAGATGTAATCTATTTGTGCAAGGAGAGCCTAGTGTTGAGATCACATAAGATTTATAAAAGGATTTTCAATAACTAATAAATCGCCATCGGAGTTGTGTGAGATCTTGCACCTGAGAACCTATTTTTTGAACGTCTAAGCAAATGTTTTTTAAGTGCTGGAAACATGACAGAATGACCTCTCGGTAATAATTAATAGTAGTTACAGTATATTGAAACATGTGCAAAAGCACTATGCACTTTGTTTTTTATCCTATAGATGCTTAAAAACCTTTGACGATTTTGACTAGGGTTATAGTAAAGTGTCTTTAGCTTTATATGTAGCGATAATAATGCCGATTGCCTTATTTTATATCGCTATACTCCAAATGAAAGTAAATTATTGAACAAACACAAACTAAAAACATGTGGCTTTTATTAAAAATATAGAAACATTTTCCAAACGAGTTTTGCAGCCGTCATTAAATGGGGACCAGTAAATAGGTAAAAAAAAAAAATAGTCCATTAACTTCAATGCGTATTAATGTCGGCCCAATATTGACTAAGACGTTGAATTAAGCAAATTAATTATTGACGGTTCAGTGATTATCACAGTTGAGGGGCAGACTCTGTGGCTGTAAAGTCAAGCTCCGTTTCAGACTCAAGTACTATCAAGAAGCACTGAAGTCCTGATTGAATTGAAATTACTATTATTATGATTTCTATACTTTCTATACTCTCACACTTATTTTGTTTTCAAACTTATGCAATGCTCTTGAATCAAATACATCTTCTTTCAGCTTAGCTAGGATATAGACCTCACAGCCACTATAATATAGCCTATAATCGCTAAAAGCTAGAAAATCTTACAGCTATTAAATGGAATGATGAAAATCTAGTCCATACCACATAACAGGGCTCTTACCGAAAGCCAGTGTCCGCGCTGCTTGCCACCATTTTCTCTGATCAATCCCCGTCCAATTTTTCCCTTTCCTTCGCAGCTCTTCCGAACAGCAGCGAAAAACAGCTGAATGAGACACTATATCAGATGGCTGTTGCCTCTGAACCTGTGGCTGTCGGATTATATAATGCGTCGATGAAACGCGGTCTATGATCGTAAAACATTTTTGCCTATTATGCAATCTACCGACATGAAGGCAAGCAGGTAGTTAAGTAAAAGCAATGGCGAGCAAGCAATGGAAACGATCGAATCCCGTCTAGCCCATCTGGACATGTGTGTTGGGCCGTTCAAGAATGCTGTTAAGCGCGAACTTATGCGTGTATACATAACAAGTGGCCATCATAATCTTTGTGACTGAGTCCGGACTGACGCTACGATGTTATATAATAAGTGAATGATGTGGAATTCGTCCCATACGGCTGGATATGTGCAGTGTGTTGACGTCTTCCGTATCAAATGTGAGACTATGATGTAGACCATGCGCATTGTCCATTTAATGCCGGTATGCTTGGTGTTATTTCGTCGTTCTCGAGCAATCTTACACTAAAGTTATGATCGGACTTTAGACTTCATTCAATCAGGTCCCTCGAAGTATCGTCATGCTGTGATAACTGGTAATTTAAGTAAAATAAGGTAACACACTGTTCCATATTAAGCTTTTTTTCGCTTATCGGCAGCGGGAAGCTTCGACTTGTCGCAACAAAAAAGCGGCGTTTCCTACATCCGTCCTTATCGTCAACAACGAACATCTCAAAGGTGAACGTAAGATCCAAGATTGGAGATTGATTCTGGGATGATATCGTTTACACCGATCATTCAGGCTGGAGGCGGCCTTATCGAAGAGCTGGTACGCGATAGTCCTCCAGCACGGGGGGTATGTCAACTCGTCGGAGATTGGTTAAGCCGGATAAATGAGTATTTCCAAAAGGATGAAGCGGGTCCGCTCACCGAGTTCTGTAAGTATTCCATTATCTAATATTATAGTATAGCTAGCTACTAGTTAACACGGAATACGTACAGGCACCTCTAATTTATCATATGATTAAATGAGAAAGTAGTTATGTTCGGGTAATGCTCCTGACATTTTGTGGCAATGTTTTGAACAGACTGTATTTCCGAATATACTTTATCGCAAGAGAGATTCCGCAAGTTGGCACTATATCTGGAAAATGAAATGCGGTTATTATGCAATATATTATAAATAAGGTTGATATGGCTAGCCAAAATGCAAACGAAAGAAAAAAAAATCTTGCTTCTTCATGATAACAATCCCATAATGACCGCTTGTCTTAAAACAATGGCTCTTAAGTATCAAATAGACGCATTCATGATCCTATTGTGGTTTTACCATTGCACAGTGAGCTGATGGACTATTATTTTAAAAATCTAACATATAGCACCCCAGCGTTATGTTCGCGACGTGGGCTTATGAGGGCATGAAGCTGAAATCGGTCACACTCATGTCGACCGCACTACTCACAAAAAAAAAATTTCTATACAGACTGCTGAGATCCCCGGCATTGCAAATGCGGCTCATATCACATGATTGATTGATATAGGACAACGTCTAACTGTAGTAATTTGTTTGGATAGCTGGTGGTTAAGGTTGTACTGAACTACCCATCATTGTCCCGCTTCCTTTTTGAGACTAAAATATTATCCCATATATTATACTGACGAGGTAGTGATACTTGAAGGAGAGTATGTATAAGGATCCAAATAACCGGTATATGTACAAGCTTAATACAGGAAGCGTAGACAATGTTTTTTTTTTTTTTATTATAATTATTGTTAATATGAATTTTAACTCGACTCCCTCGAATTGTCGTTACTTCACATCTTCTAATACATGTTAGTTAAGTGAGGACGTTTCCTTGATTTTATACAGTATTTTTAGCTAAGTTAAAGCGGTCACGAGTTTGCAGTTTTTTATGCATTCGATGCGACAAAAGCTAAAGAAAGTTACACAATCTGAACTAGTCTTTATTTGATGACTTTCAGCACAGCGTCTATTTTTATGCGCATATGATACTCCAAAGAATAGCGAACTGTAGGCAAAATGGGGCAGACAGAGTAAGGACTAACTTCTTGACCCATTTTCTCGTTTACAAGAAAAAACAAAGCTTCGGCTAACCGTTTTTAGCATGATAAAGCAATAGTGTAATCGACTGGGTCTTCAGGCGTCAATTTCATTCGATTCATTATGATGCTTGTTTGTCGAACAATGGATTATCATTATCGTTTGTGGACGTCTTTTTATCTGAAATTAATTTATTATGATCGTGGGGATCTTAATTATTCAGAGCGTCCTTCCTACCATTTGCTGGCCTTCGTGCGTTAACGTAGGCACTTCTTGTCCCTGTACGTATCTTTTTCGAAAATGAAAACGAAAATTATCATTTTTATAGCCATTCCGTCCAGCAACTTACTAAACGACTCAACTATAGTAGCACATTCGTTTGTACGACTCTCGCTATAGACACACACACCCACACACGTAAAAGTATCAAGAACCTTGCTCGCGTAAGTATTCTTCGCAAACGTCAATTCTTTCTTCGCGCTACACTTCAGCCGATTACTATCTGTTTAGCCTTGCTATCCAAACAAACTAACGTCGTCTTCAGCGTCTTCCAAAAACAACTTATACTATTATGCATTATACCCGCCGCAATAGCTAATAGCCTAAACACACTATCATTTCACTTTCGACTATCAGCCCTGCGTTGCAAGACGACGCTGCCGATGACTTCAGTTTGCCTTGAAGCTCGTCGTGCCTTCAACGGCGTATTGTTCCCTGAAATATGCGCCAGGTCTGCCACCAGCAAAGCTTAGTGGAGAAAAAACAACCAACGGGAAATGTCGGTAAAATCTGCAATTGACCGCTTATTTGCTTGCTATCTGCACCTCTTACAAGCTGCTTTCGTTCGATATTGCTGATACTGTACAGGGTGAGGCAAAAGTTTTTTTTCTAACAATTTAAAGGAAAGTTTATAGAAAACTTTTTCTTTCTTTCTTTCAAACTGCCAACAAACTTTTTAAACTTCATAGTCTCGGTCTACATTATAGTGCAGGCTGGTAGCTTGCAGCGACAATTTGTTGATGGCTGCCTGTCAGCCTGCGCTGGACAAAACGGCAGCTCTTCGTAGCCATCCCTAGTAACTGGCGCCGAAGTAAATCCCCGCCGTGGCTACTGACGTAGATGTTCATCCCTTCCGCAACGGTACGTTGGACGAATACCATTCGAACAGGAATAGACGACAAGTGACTTTGTCTACAGATGTGATGTCACCGATGATATTGGCTGACACAGCAGTAAGCCACTATAATGGCGATGTCCGCGGACAACCGAATTGGCAAATAGGTCATTGACTTCCGCTTTGTTGATGGTCGCTGGGTAGGGTAGTAGCAGCAGCGGCAAGAGGCCGCGCATTGTTACCCCGAATCGTTATTGCATAACACCACGGTGCAAAGCGATCGGTGCACGCAGCAGCTGTTACTTTCCGGCACCAGCTGAGGGGCAGCACCGATGTCGGCCGTCATCAGCAATTGCAAAATTAACAGCGTCCAATGCTACGGCTATCAAAATGCTCTAGGCCGGATGGGCATGGAGATAGGGAACGCTAACTTTAGTGGCAAACATCGGGCCAATTTGAATAACTGGCAAGAAAAATAAACAATAATTATATAAGTCGTCTGATCAAGAGAAAAAGAAATGGTTGAGCCCATATGCGTTTAAAGACGACGCAAATCATGCAAACGTTGACAGGCCTTGAAAAAAAACTTGCGCTAGAAAAATCTAACAGCACCAGCAGTAACATTTCTTATAAACTTCTTCACTAAACTTAAGGATAGGTAGGAAACCGGGCGTGGGCGCTCGATTCAGTGCTCGCTGGACGGGGCCCTCAGCCTTTTGAAGTAATTCATAGCTAATAGCAGTATCAAGGAGAAATTGAGACATTTCTGTAGAAGTAACTACAGCAGCGTCCCCCGGTCGGCGTAGTGGTAACGAATTTGCCTTCTAAGTTGAAGGAGACGTAAGCTAGTTTAGGCCTGAAACCGAGTATAGATACACGATTCGTTTAGTATGCCCCCGAAACCGGCGCTTAACTAAGGCCGTCTCTTGTGGCAGATGTGAATTCATTGCCTATTCGCAAGATCTGACAAAGTTTTCAGAAAAGATATGATCAGCGACAACCTCGCTTAAGAGAGTTACTGTTTGTTGCCTACTTTGCTTAGCCCAAATCTATGGACTAGTGCATATGGTTAGAAATAATCTAGCAGTGATACCGTGGAAAACGCTTTTTATTGAAAATTTTAAATGGTAAAGGATCATTAGTGCAACAATGTCGACCTTCGCGCCAGAACTAATTAGATTTATCGTTTGTTGCAACTGGCACACGATTTTGAACGGCTTAATCCTCTGTTTATCGAGGTAATATCGTTTAACGACTTTTATCGGTTGCAACATTAAACAGAAACCAGGGCAGAAAACTTGATTCGATTGAGTCGTGCAATTACAGTTGTATAAGAAAATGTTAGCTGGAAACAGTTACTTCGGGTCTGGGATGCATTGGACTGAAAAGATGCTTCCTACAACCTGTTAACACAAGCCCAAAGACGACTACCATTAAAATTAGTCATTGTTTTTTGACAACCACCCTGATCGCTGTTGTTCCAAAAAACGTCAACTCCTTACGGTCTGATTTATATGTTTTTATTTATATTATATAATATAAA